TGGAGTATGTAATTATTTAATTTAAGTACCTACTTAAACCATCATTACTCTAGAAATCCATACGAAGTGTTTGTATAATCTTTTATGTTTGTTACAGATTTTTTATTTACACCTACCTAATTATCAAGTGTGGTCAGCCGTTCTCTACCAACACCTAAGCACCGAACCTGTCAGAAGGCAACCACAATATGTCAACCCTCAATTGATTTTCAACTCAACCTACAATGCATTAAGCTTTAAAATCAAGTGGAGAAATTTAAAAGTTTTGTATAGCTCAACATGTTCTCGAATGTACTGTAATAATTTGATTACTATCGGGTGATTTAAAAACTCTAGCTTCCCTGTAGAAGGTTGGTTACTCATCAGTTTAATCAACTGTTTCTTTTGCTCCAATGACCGTCGATTTCCAAATACGAAAAACCTCCCAGGGAACTAAGTGATCTTCTAAAGTGTATTTATCTTTACGGGGGTTAAATGACTACGCGATTTTTCTTTTCTTTTACTTTCCCTGGATTGAATGCTGTATATAAAGGATAAGATACTTAACTTTTGTGGTATTTCCTGAGCTTATTGGTAAAGCAAAAAATTCAGTCGGTATAAATAATGAGATTACGGAAAATCATTTAGGGACAAGGATTTTTTTCATTAAATGTCAAGTAACTTCGTAATAATGCCTTAGATATATACTGATGAGTATATTGATGAGTTATAGGTAATTAAATAAATATAATAAATTTTTGTAATGATTTCAATGTTCAAAAAACAAATGTTTATTATTAAGAACTGTACATAAAAAACACCTCCAAATTAAAATAACGTGACGACTTCTTAAAATTTTATTTATCTTCTATATGCATCCTATTAATATAATTATTCCTATTAATATAAACAAAAGATTTGTTGTTTTTCTAACTTAGAATTTTAATTTTTATTCAATAACTACTCGACAAAATAGGATCCCGCTTCCAAAAATGGGTACATCGGAGGGGGTTTAACCACCCGCGTTATGACTTGCCTTTTGACGGCTCCGTGCGAATGTAGAGTCCAACACACCACACTCAGGGACAGAGAATAATCCATTCCCTTATCCACTTTAACATTCAAATCGTGAACACTCACGCACTCACAGATATCTCATAGACTTATCAAGCGATAAGTTACAGGCTATTCAATGGTACTATTTTTTAATAAAGCGTCATCTATATTTGTTTTAAGTTTATTAAATTTATTGTATCCATATTTATGTTTCGTCCATTGGTGTACAATAAAGAATTTTTCATTCACTCATTCAAACCGACGCCTTGTAAGAGTACTGAGAAAACATAACATCGGACTATACGCATTCGGAGTTCAAAACTTAAATCTCTGTTTTATAGGAATTTGTTAAATTAAAAAAAGCCTTTTTGTTATCTCTACGTTGATTTTAATATTACCTACCTAGTTTGCATTTTACTCGGGTACGTACATTTTAATTTCTGTATGTTTATTGAAGATTCTGAAGTTAAAAATACAATAGACAGGTTACTATTAACAGATACCACATATAACGTTGGCAATAAAACTAGACAACGTTGCGTCACAGATAATCGTGTCGTACAATTAACAATGTACAGTCGATGACATATTTAGTTGCAATGCAATCCGAATCTTGCAAATTAAATAACCTTTTGCAGAATGTCCATGGGTACACTAGACCTTACACATTTGTAATATTTCAGGTTATTTAATTAAATATTTCACGAACTTTTGTATTTTCATTAAAATGGTCAAATAATAAAATAAGTTCGTTCTGTGACTAATGATAATTACAAAAGTTAGTTTTATGAACAGTGTATCGAACAATTCAAAGTTTGGACTAAAAATCAGTGATGTCTCTCGGCTTAGCATAAAGTTATTTTAACATGTTCAATATTTATCTACTTATTTCAAATATAACTAATTATTTTTTGGTGAAAACCTTACAATAAACAAACAGTTTTTCAGTCGGTTACCTCAGTAATATTCGGGGAAGCAAGCTTAATTAATAATAACTATTCACAGATTTGTGATATTAAAAATGTCACAGTAAAAAACATAGAATGTATTATATATCTTATATCAGTAGGATTAAAACTGGATCAAATTACGAGAAACAAATACAAAAGCCAAATAGAAGAGCGAGTCCCGTAATTACTGAATAGTTTGCTGTTCGCACTTTGCTAGTAACAGCAACTACGCTCCCGGTTTTAATTAAAGCCGTAATCAAATCCAGACACTCGAAGCTTCGTGATCCGAGTTGTAAAGAGCGATTTTTTATTAATCTCCTTTGCTGATTCGGAAACTCGACAACTATTAATTTTATGTTTCCACACGAGTCTAAAATATTGATTTGGTAATTTTAACAAGAAGAAAATAAAATTTATACAAGTTTAATAAAGAGAGTATTCGTAGATTATAGTTATTTCTCTAATTTACCACTTTATAATATTTTAAATGTCTCTACATTCTGCTGAGAAATATGTAAATACTTTTTATAATAAAGTATTCATTCATTCATAGGCATCACTCTTATTTCTCAATGAAAATAAGAAACGTCGTCACTACAAAAATAGGTATGTAGGTCATTATTTTTGTACATGATTATGTGTTTGCTGATTTCATTTAGGCATTACTTTTTCTAACTCATTTTAGATGTAATATTCTATTTGGATACCAGATTTCCGCCAGCGGCTTCACCTGCGTGTATTACACATGTAAAACATCCTGTTGAATATTTTTATCCTTTGTTGAAAACCGCATTAAAATTCATTGTGTAGTTTTAAGATTTCAGCTTACAAACAGCGTGAAGCGATTTTGTATTATACATATTATGTATAGATTATGTTCTACTGTTTTAAAATCGAGCATGGTGATAAGAGACAATGTCGAGAAAACGAAAGAAAGATTGTGCCTTGTGGCAGCCAGTCCTGTCTTCCTACCCAGCAAGAGCCTAATGCTGTCACGACAGAGAGTAAGATAGAGTTGGACGAATTATTTCTTTATAAGAAAAATGCCATTTCTCTTATCATCATTATTTCATTAAAAAAAAATCAAATCTAATTATATTGCTGCGTTCTATTATCGAATTATGCTAAAAGATAAATTATATGTTGTTCACTCAAAAACAGGCTTTTCTATCATAATTTGTCTCAGAAAATCCCAGTCCATCAGAACTCTGTCGTCGTGTTGCTATTCCAAAGACGTTGATATCTTTCTTCCATCTTAATGTTCTAGTCGAAACATTCTCCTTGTTTCTGCTCACCCATTGCAGTAACCACCCAGACTACCTGGGATGGTGCCCAAATGGTTAGGTACATAAAAAACCACAAAATAACCAATATAGAGTTCATATTCGTTCTTAATTTTTTAAAATCACTTAAGAGATTACTAGTCTTAGATAGAATGGTGTTTTAGCTTTGGATATTCCGAACTTAAGATTTGTGTTCTTATTTTCCTATGTATTTAAAATTAAATAAATAGCTTGAAAGTTTTCAGAGATAAAGTGCTGATACATACTTTAATAATTAATATGATACTATTTTGTTCTTTCAAATAGCAATGTTGTGTATATTAGTTATTCGCCTGTATGGTATGTAAGCTCTGTACAATATCATATTGCTATTTTACAAAATGTAATTGCATATATAGCTATTGCTGTACCTTAAATAAATAAGTATAGCTATTTGGGTAACGTATTAAACAAGTAACCCTTATAGTGTCGCCATGTCCGTCCGCGGTTAAGCTCAGAAACTATTGGTATTAGAAAGTTGTTATTTAGCATAAATATACATGTTAAATACGCAAAGTAGTTAAATAAAATTTCCAAAAAAAATTTTTTTAGGTTACTCTAAAAATATTTGTTTTTCTCATAAAGAACAATTATTATAACTTACAATTAATGTAACTTTCAAAAAATATCACAAATAATTGATATAACCTTCGTTTAAAACACCGATTAATTTATGTAATGACTAAAATGGTAAGAATGAAACATTCCACCAATATTATGTTATATTATAATTAATAACTTTTTAATATATAGTTTAGAACTCGATCAAATAACGTTCGAAATCTTTATAATAAAACTGATTAATATTCTTAATGAAAAATTGTTAAAAATCACCTTTGTCCCTTGCAATTTCAGATGGGACTCGAACCCATGACCTTTCGCAATCCAAGCGACTGCTCTAACCACTGAGCTACGCAGGACCTAACAGGACTGACGAATTGTTCAAACACTTCTTACTTTTTCGCTACTACAGAGCTTTTTCATTAATGTTCAGGTATTCATTCAAAATAGCCGAAAGAAATATTTTTACAAATATTTTAACTTTCGATGAAGATGAAAATTTGTTCTAATTATTATATTTGAACAAAAATATTCTTAATGCAATTTTTTTCAGTAAAGCATTGTGTTTCAGTAAATTGTTTCAGTAAAGCATTTTTTTTTCCTTTATTATATGAAATAATCGATATATTAAACAGGGAATTAAAATAGGATAAAATCATGAAACTTTATATTTAGCTATTTTGTACAATAAAGTGAATAAATATGTATTTGTTTTAGCGTTATTGAAAATGTTGCTCAAAGTACCTATGGCACACGGACGAAGTTGCGGGCAAAAGCTAGTCTTAGATATATTCATATCGTATCGCTAAAATATTCTAGCGTATCATAAAGCTATCTAAATATTCCGCAAAAGAAACGGTGTCAGATTATAAAAATATTTTTTCTTCATAGCGAATCATATGCGCTCACAGCGGCATAGGTCGGTCAAATATTTACGTAGCGCTGGTACAGAACCGGAGCTTAGATCTCGTGTTATTTCTGTGTTGGTGTCAAAACGACACTGCTCTAAAAATGTCTTAAGAATGCGGGGGGAGGAGTGGTTGTATGAACTCACAGGCGACAGCGGGGGGAGGGCGGCGGGCGGTAATGCGCCTACGCATCGCCCACCGCACCTTGCCGCCCGCCTTACACCAGTCAGCAGCTGTGGCTCGTGTTGGCTGAACCATCTGTAGGGCCATCCTCTTTTTTTCTTGCCTTAGGTGAGTGAGTGATTTGTATTTAACTAACTAAACTGTTAAGTGCATTCAGTGAAGTGATACATCAATGCCGTGATGTAATGGACTCGTGATGCATCTGTTCTCCAGAGTGTAGTGAGGGTATTAAATTCGAAAGTGCCGGTCAGTCAGTTTTGGTGTCAACTTCCCGTTGCTGTGGAATTTCCTGACTTTGGATTTGTTGAGACGCTGTCATACTTCGTGACAATCTAGGAAATAATTTTAATGACGTCACTCTTACATTACGTATAGTCTCAGCACATTTATCATTAAACTAAACTTTGAAAACAGTTAACATTTTTTTCTTAAAAATTAAAAAGAAAATCGGTATATTTTAATAACCTATAGATATAAAATAATCATTGACTAAAATAGATAATAAACAATGACGTCACAAATCGGATACTTGGCAATAGCGTAGAGCAATTATAAATTTGACGTGTCGTGACGTAGTTGACTTTGTCGGATATCTCGTTACATTGCTCTTACCGGTCTGCTTTCCATCGCGTTAGAAATCCGAGTAACCGCCCTTGCGCCCGCGACACCAAATTAGGATGCGCGGGAATACGCGCTGACCTATTTCAGGCGCCCGCGCCGCCGACGAATACCGATGATCTCCGACCACCTCCGAAACTAATTGTGGAAATTTCATGGACCTGCAGACTTTCTTAAAATAAAAATCCTTTTACAATAAAAGAAAATATAATTAGTTTAACATAATAAAAGTGTTTCGGTCAAAAGTGCATAAATCTCAATTATCTATTGCATAATATATTACACTACAAGCGGAGCTGCAGTTTGAATGCCCATTAGAGAGTAATGCACTTAAAGCGAACATAATTAAGAATAAAACTGGGAATAAGAAATTATAATTATGCTTTCCGGGTATCGAATAGCAAATTTTACGTCTAGATTTTTTGGCAAACATTCAAAGTTTCGGATTTCATAGTTGTTTCGAGCACGGTTTGCCATATGTGCATTTTTAGGTAGGAAACACATAGAAAACATATTGACATATATTTAGCGTTCAAATTGCTTTGTTTACGAATCGATTGCCAAATTTGTGACATAATTATTTTAGAAATACATAGTTATAGTTTTGGGAATTTACCATAAGTATGTATTTTTATTTATTCCCAATGCATTAACAATGAGAAGTCCTTAAAAATATTATAAAGTATATGAAAAATATTTATTTAAATTTTAATTTAATTGGTCTTTGCAGGACACCACAACCAACACATTAACAATGGCGGATGATGAAGTAAGGTAAGATATTAAGGTTTCATTATTAATTATAATATAAAAATTAAAAATTTTAGGGTTCTGTATCTAAAACGCACATTATGAGTGTGCATGAAGGTAAAGAGAAAATTAGATGACATAGTAAGGCTACTTAATGAGACAGATATTAATGATGATTTGTTGCGCGAAATAAATTAATAGCGCTAAACCCCGTAAATGATTTTTACTAGTGTAAAATGTCATATCAGCAGCTTGTAGAGTAACTCAGATATTATTTTTACTATCAATGACGTCCAAAAGTGACACTCTCGTCGGTGGAGTAATTTTTATTGTCACCTATCTACGGAAATCAATTTGACTTCTTGATATGATACGACGCCTTCTTTTTCTTTTATTTGTTTTAAGTGCCTGCATCTAGTCTTCCATGATACCATTCTATGGTGTTTTTAATTAGGCTATCGTTTCGCAACAGGGATACTTGTATCATCCTTCTCCTTCTTCTGTTTTTCTCATTGGTCTTCCTTTCTTATAACTATTTTATAATAAAATGAAAGCGGAATTTTGATGGTTAATTAATAACAAGAAACATTTTCAAAGATTTCAACAGAAAAGCACTTTTCACAAGTACGTGTCATAAAGTTTTGTTCCGTTAAATAATTTTGAAATTTCTCTTCAACAATTATAATTGTCAAAGATTGTCTATCTTTTTAAAATTATAAGTAAAACAAAATCATTGAACACTGAATGTTTGCTAGATTGAGTTTACTCGCGATATTTTGGAAAATTTAAGCTTTATTTTCTATATTGATTTAATATTCCTTACTATCTATTAATTCAGTACAATATTCGGTTTGGACTAGGTAGTTAAACTTATAGGGTAGTAGATGCATTCATCACAGTATTTATCGAGTAAAAGTTTCTTCCCAAAATTAAACCTCAAATTATATAATCATCATCGTAGACCTTTACGACGATCGACGATATCGAATCAGAATTCTTTTATTACTGTTTTTTACTGTGAAAATGAATATATTATTTGTTATTAATTTTATAGTTAGATTTGACGTAAGCTATATTATTAATTCGGAATCTGTAATTTACAAATCCACAGGCGTTATATGATTTCACTTAATACATCATCGTATATCTATCTTATTGACAGGCAAGATGTGGGAGACCAGGTGTATATATTACTACGGAAAAATAAGAATATTTAATGGATCAGAGTTTATGAAAAAAATATCGTTCGCCTTTCAAAAAAAATGATCAAATAACCTCTATGTTAAATATAGTATTAATTTCATGAATAATAGGCCAGAAATACATCAGGTGAAGTGGAATACAGAGCGTTTCTCATTTCCATTGAGTTTGTTATCTTTGTGTGCGTTTATGTTAAGTCGAAAATTAGTGACCACATGAAGTCCTGGTACATCGAAACTCACACTAATATTATTTATGGTATTTGGATCTTATTTAAAGGTCGACAAAGATGATAATGATTTAAAAGTGAAAAATGCTCTGCATTGTACTTGTTCAGATATGTGTCGGCCCTAACATTTGTCTTGCAAAGAGAATTCTTAGAGTACTTTATATCCAGAAATGATTTTAACATATAGTTGTGTGTTATTTTTCTGTTTCATCGCATTATCTTCGGGTGGCTGTTGCATTCTTCTGTCTTATGATGTCCTGTGGTCATCGTTATAGTATTGAGTACCATGTCTTCTCGAGACTCAGGTAATTTTATGTTGCTTCTAACACTCACTAGCACAACACTTGTCACTTGTCAACAGAATATATAATACACGCTATGAAGAGGTGCTAAGGTATACCAACTGAAATAAGAAAAAAACTATTTGGAAGAATGAATTTTAAAACGATTGCTTTGAAATACATTACAAATATATAGAACTCAATCTGTTATTACTAAGAGTAAATTATATTTGCTAAAAAAACGTATAAATATCTTTTTTTTTTATATTAACATGTCCACAAGAATGAAATGCACACCTAAAGTGCGAACTCATTTCAATATCCTAATTTTTAAAAAGTATTTAGTTGATATGTAGAAATATACTTCTGTATCGGATTAAAATTCTATTTCTGTTACAGAATTTGTTTATATTGACATATTATTTGTTTGTGACATTGTAAGTGATACGTGTTATATTGTAACACCAGATGGCTTCTGGCAATATATTTGTTTTCCTCGTGTATCACCGTATTCTAATAATCAAAACGTGTGTTATAATTAATTATAATGATGATTAAGATTTGTGATAATTATTAAGCACCTTTGTAGATTAACAAAACACATGTTTTCAGAATATGCTAACGCACATTTAATGTTTTATGTGCACACTTACGAGTTCTCTACTCAATGTCATTGGAGCGTTATTCTTTTATTTGTCTTATATTTATTTAGCACATACGTTTCCAGTGACATTAAGTTATGAGAATAACCCCTCACACATACTACTGACGCTCACACACAGCAAATATAACATGCACTGAATACATTGCCAACCGTATATAATTTGTTTTGTGCTTATTACGACAGCTCTCAATAAAAACTTAACATAATTATTATAATGCAAAATAAATAAATGTTTATTTTTGTTTTATCTAAATAAGATGAAAATTCTATCGAATTTTAGTTAGTCCTGTTGTTTTCTATCTCTTTAACCCCATGGGAACGAAAATAAAATTGTTTTTGTAATTGGTCACTTTAATAATATGGCGGAATAATATTTATTACGTCTGACCATTTAAAATGTTAAGTTGTGCTAAGAGCAAATATAAAATATTTATTTTCGCTTTGACAATTTCAATAATAGTTAGTCATAAATTGCAGTTAGACATAGGTTTCGATGTTTACGAAAGAAATATCGTAAAAAATTGCATGTTTTGTTCATTCCAAAGTGGAAAATGAAAGAAAAATAATTTCCTGATTACCTCAAGGGCTAAGGAGATAGTAACCACAGAAATAATAAAAAATACTACCACAAATGAGAGTGTTGTACATACCTTTGTGTCTAAATTTTATTTGTGCGACGATCTCACTATAATTTTGATATTTGATATCCTATAACGTTATACGTCCCAAGAGACTGACTTGAGATATGAAAGGAGTTTCTAAATAAACAAAAACAAAAGCCATTCCATTATTTCTTTAATTATAATATAAATAAAAAAAAATATTATCACTACAACCTTTTTTGCCGTTGATAGTTACTATTTAGTGAGAAAAATCAATGTATCAACATTATTTAATTACATAAAAAAATTAAATATGATCAAACGTCATTCACTCTGAAAGGTTTTGATACCAATGCAAAATTATGGTTGATCGCTCAATTAAATGTTTTGACAATTCTATTTACTATTGTAAACTAATTTTTACCTTTCTCTCTTACAGAAAAAGCGTCTCGAGGAGGTAAAGTAACATTGGAGGACATCATGAGATCTCATTACACCACACTGTAAACTCGAATGAACACAGTCTCGTTTAGTCAAATCATTCCATATTTATTTTTCCATTTTAACGAGTCGTCTCTTGGAAAACGTTTCATAAATTAAACAAAATATGCAGCTCATTAGACGACAAAAGACAACAGAAGCAAGATTTTCGTGTTTTACATTTATATCAACATTTTTGTTTCATATTTATGATGTTGATGTTATGATAATTTTGCTTTTAATAACGTAGAGTGAAGTATTAATTAGTTGATATTTTTATATCCACTTTTTACTATTATATAATATTTCTCATTCTCCTCGGACGACTTTGTTTTAGTATCACATGTCTTTCAGATTCGTAACCCCTATAGAGCTTTTTAGAAGAACAAAATGAATCTACAATAATTCTGTAGAATTCAAACAAATACTATCGAAACATAATAAATTAAATGTTATAAAAATGCTCGTTAATCGATATTGTGAGTTATTACATAAAAATATACAGACATATTGTTCAACATTTTTCTTAATTTCTTTGTCGAAGAAATTCATTAGTCTTTGTCAGACACAGCATCAGCCATTGTGTAAGAGGCGTACACGATAGAAAATAACTGTACCCTATACATTAAAAAGCTTCTAAGTAGGTGCTCATTTTGGGTTCTTAGTATTTAATAAATACTAAACAAATATAAGGGAACCATATTTTTGCCATTTTTCATATTCACACTTCACATTTCACTTCTTGTCAAATTTTTGATACTTGGACACGATCACTATGTAATTGGTTGTCTCTAGGCGAAGAAGGCCAAACAGGCCGAGATTGACCGCAAGCGCGCTGAGGTGCGCAAGCGCATGGAGGAAGCCTCTAAGGCTAAGAAAGCCAAGAAAGGTTTCATGACACCGGAAAGGAAGAAGAAACTCAGGGTGAGTGTTTACAATTAATTATCAGTAACACACAATTTTAATTTCTTCCTTTATATCTCATAAATCTAACTAAGTGTTAAAAACGTAGTGTAAGTTACACAATTTAACTATTTTCATATTCATTTGACATCATAACTATTATTCATAAATTTATATTTACTATAGTTGCTGCTACGTAAGAAAGCCGCTGAAGAGTTGAAGAAGGAACAGGAACGCAAAGCCGCCGAGAGGAGGCGTATCATTGAGGAAAGGTGCGGTAAACCCAAAAACATCGACGATGCAAACGAAGGTAAATTCTATGTATTATATATCCCTACTTATATTTTTTGTTGTAAGGTTAAGAGATCTTTTGTTATTTATAAACATAATTTTATATTCTAATAGGTGTGTAGGATAAAGCATTATGTAGAAGTTTTGTACCACATATCACACGGAATACACCGCCGTAACTCTTAGTTTTTGGATACATTTTAGTTACCTATATACATTTAATATGTCGCATTATAGATACTATTCGGAGGGTTTGCAAAGATTACCACGAGCGCATCGCCCAACTTGAAGACGAGAAATTCGATCTGGAATACATCGTTAAAAGGAAAGATATGGAGGTAGTGAGCCGAACTGTTACGAGACAGTTTCCTTTGATGATGAACTCACAAACTTACTACTTCATCTTCATGACTTATTTGATTTCTCAAGTACCGTGCTGTTTACTTCGTCTGTTAACACGGCTCAAGCTATCTGGTGTGATTGGCCTTTACCATGTTGGTTTAGGTCAAATTCTTTTTCTAACGCGTCTATCTACTTCTTCTAAGCTCCATGTGAAGTCGTTTACTATGTCTGCAAATACTTACTACCTTCTATTTTTCCAATAAATTTCCGTATTACACTCACACATAACTTTAATGGTCTACAGTCAGCGTTTGCCGCCGGTCTAGGTTAATTGTTGTAGGGTGTTTTCCGCGCAAGTAACTCTTGTTGGTTTTGTAGCGGCTTTAACGAGCATCATAACCGGTTACCATCAACGTATCACCAAGCTCGAGGAGGAGAAGTACGATCACGAGATGGAAGTGGCCCGCAAAGCGCTCGAGGTGTGACCTGGTTTGGGCGCAAATCTTTATTCATAATTTGCTCTCGTTTTAGTAGCTCATGCCGATAATGTGACTAGAGAGTTGACTTTGTTTTCGCAGCAGATTCATAATATTACAATACGCGGAGCTGAATATCAGATCCCTAACCATGTGGATAACAAGTTAAAAATCGCTAAATAACAACGTCCCGTTCGTAGCAACTCCAAAACTGCGAATGATATGTAGATACTCTCATCGAGTTTTAAGTCAATAACAACATAGATATATTGCAGCAACTGTCCATTGACACCCACCTAAATACGATCATGTAGCTTGGCTTACGCTTGTCTCCAGTGAGGTGGTCCCGATCTCGTGAATCTACACATTGTCACACAGATACGCGAGGCTACGTCGATATCAAACTCTGTACCTTAAATATGTGATTGTGTTTTTCTTTAGCGGAACTGCAGACGATATGTCAAATGTACTGGCACAGAATATACAACCTAGAGGGGGATAAATATGAACTAGAACGAGCGATCGAAATTAGGAAAATGGAGGTAAACAATATATTAGGATTGGGAATGCATATGATATGAGTTGATACTGATTTAGTTGTTACAACATGACCTGATAGTTGTACGGCTCACCGCACACATGCACATGTCGCTCCCCGTCGACAGACGTAGGCCACACACAAATGCCCATGCTCATTCTGCCGGCTCAATAATTTGTCTTTCCTTTTTCTATAGCATTGCTCAAGAGAATAATACAGGAGTATTATGACCGCATGTATGTGTGTGAGGGCCAGAAGTGGGATTTGGAACATGAAGTCAGGAAAAGAGATTATGAGGTATTGACCAATACTTTATAACCATTGTGAATATCACAACCATCGATAATGTAACAAACGTGCGCGTGTGAAAATTCGTGTTGATATATTGATATAACGCTTTATAAGTTTTCGGTTGTTTGTTGTTGAATTGTAAATAACGGCGGGGGGGCCGGGTCGGTAGTGAGTAGAGCGCGGCGCGTGCGCTATGCGGGAGTGCGGTGGCGGGCGCACGGCTTTGGCCACGCCCACGGTAAGGCGTGCGGTGCAAAATCGATCTTCGCCAGCGCCGGCGGCGCGTCATCTGACATGGAGCTTACACCATTAACTACACTAACACGAGTAACCGCCATCAGCTGAAGGCGTAACAACACTGCACTCACTCACGGAGTGCTTTAGCACTCCTCATTGCATGCTTGTAACTTTCTTAACTGTCAACTGCGTGCTTACTTCTTGTTTTGTCATATCATTCATATTTTCACTCATTAGTATTAAGATTCATGAATATCTGTAATCATTATGTTGAAATCAACTCATCATTCTATCGGTGGAAATGGCAAATGCCTCTTCACCGATTATCTGCTAAAGCTTTATTTTTACATGTTGCATGCTCTAATTAAGTAACGCACGATGCTTTTAAGTCCCGATTAATATTTACATTCCTTAAATAGTATGGCACTTTAATAATAACTTAAAATATGTGATGAGCGCGATAATACTTGAAGAGCGATCACTGCAACCGCCAATGTGACGCTTTATGTGTGGTGGCGAGCTTAGTGGCCTTACTGAATTTTCTCTTTTTATGATAACATTAGTTGCCGTTGAAGTGTAAGTGGAACGTTGGACTGGTTCCATTATTGGCACACGCAAGTGCATAGTGTAAGTGAAACTTCTTGTTCCAAATCTCCAACTGTTCATGTATGTGCCGTTACATCCGCGCGATATGTTTGCGTGTTCGATTGCTGAGAGCCCCATAAACCTATCTGTAATACCCGTATGATAACTATTTGGACACGAGTGTTTAAAATTGAAAGTGCCATGCTCTGGTCGAGTGCCCATCCTTTCCCCGAGCCATATTGAGCGCGTCCTTGGTCGCTCGACACATTGCACAGATTATGCGGGACATGGGGTGGTGTCTGCTATCACTTGCGAGTCCCAAAGACACTACATTACAATATATATATATATACCCACTGACCCACATCTGCAAATCTGGATCGATTTTGCTCCGTCACTCCATTACACTTCTGCATTGTCCGAACTCATACATTGAATGTCGATGTTCACTATACCGATGTAGATACGTTACATTTGGGAGTTAGAATGTATACAAATACAGCGTTCAACATACTACAACTTCGAACATTTACACTTACGGCTGTAATGATTTTGGCATCGAAGGAGTATTGTTGGCGCTGATTTTTGTTGCACATGTAAAATACTATGCACTTTAATGTATAAGTTGTTGTTGAGGACACAGGAGCTGCAGGCGACCAGCTACCATCCGAGGCATATTTCGGTAGAATTTGTGCACGAATTTATAATATAGTACATGATTTATAGCGACAAGTGGAACTGATGAGTAGGCAAAGAGCACAGGTTAAAGATATTAGGCATTATTAGGACACGGGACTGACCTTAGCGGATTTTCTGTATGTACTTGCATATATTTAAACTTTACTATGCTCGCCTAACATCGCCTAATCTACGCTCAGCTCTATATCTTGTTCTGTGCTTTTCTGGTATTAATCATTATATTCTATTCGACTACCTTATAATATGCTATCTTTTACAGATGTTTTCGAGTGTTTCTGCTTTATGTGTTCACTACTTTTCGTACTTTGCATGAAATTGTTTCTCTTGTATCTCGAAAATTCATACATATCTTTATTTTATTAATTTTTGTAACTCCTTGAAAACCATGGAATGGAAATCGACTCGACTATAACAAATTCACTAAATGTATCATTTTGTTATATTACTATTATTAACTTAACTTAAATAAACACAAACCGTTCACTTCTTCAATTCTCTTCAACATTGTTTTTTTCTTATAATCATTTCGTCAATTTCTTCTTTAATTACATGGAAGTAATATTTGAAATTATATTTATTTATTTAATTCATGAAGTATAATAATGATTATATTTTACCAGATCTCCGACCTCAACTCTCAAGTAAATGACCTCAGAGGCAAATTGTAAGTATCTATGTAAATTATTTTAATGTATTCATTTTTAATAATTACAGCATTTTATTGAACCACTTCAGATATTCGGTTGTCTTTTCCTACTTAGAAATTGGGATACTTGAATATAGATATCCATTCATCATTATGATTCCTGGTCCCAATTTATTTGGGGTAGTACTAATAACCCATGTACTTCAGTTACTTCAGTAATACCAGAACTATTCAGTCTTATCTATATCTAAACTAACTCGTATTTTAAGAGGAAAGATTTCATCTTTTTGATTGCTGGTAAAGCATAAACTTCATAAATAATTTACAAATTATAAGGATTCTTTTTCCAATATTACAATTTTTATGGCAGTACTCGTATATATCTCATTGCATATTATAAATTGAATGCGATATCACCAATCATGATAAATTCCAAACGCAATCGAATACGAGGTTTGGATTTAGATCTAATATCGGGGTGAGAGATAGAGATATTTTAGATTGAGTTCATTTTTCACCGCTATAAATGGAATTATGATATGGTTTTAATTTTTAAATATATATTTTGCCTAAATTATATTTTGCATATTGGTCTAAAAAGTTATCAAATCAAATAACGTCATTACAATAAATGCATTATTGTAGATGTTTACTGACTATATTTCATGTTTTTATAAATAAAAACAGTATTACCACTAGTATTTTATGTAATCATCAGTATACATAGTGAGGTTACAAAAGCAACGTTTGTGAATATATTCATGATTCGTTATTTTTGTGTGACACCTCTAGTGGTTATAAATCTAAAAACATATAATTAAGTTCTGGAATTGAATCGACCACATCTATTCTTATCGAATACAAATGTCATATTTATGTAGAAGATCTAATGGTGTAACCAACAATAGGCTAGTTGACAACTTTTTTAATTTTATAAATCAATAGTCCATTAATATACGAGAAATAATGTAGAAGTCACAGCATGTCTGTGAGTAATAGTTACAGAGATACGGTGCTATTCGTACGGTGCTTTTGAATTCAAAATATTAGTAGAACGAAATATTATGTATACAGGTAGATATTTATGGAAGTGCCTTTTCGCAGCGTTAAGCCCACACTAAAGAAGGTGTCCAAATATGAGAACAAATTCGCCAAGCTCCAGAAGAAGGCAGCCGAATTCAACTTCCGTAACCAATTGAAGGTTGTCAAAAAGAAGGAGTTCACCCTTGAAGAGGAAGACAAAGAGGTAAATATAATACTAACATTCATGTTTGAATTCCACAATAACCATAAATGAACAGATGGTACTGATCATAATAAAATTGGTGTTCTGAACTTTTATTCAAGTTTTTTTTACATATATATTTACAACATTTTTTTTTTCATTATAAATTTTTATGTCAAGAAAGGCTGGCATAGACAGACATAATAAAATTTAACATCTACACTTCTACTCCCCTGAGTACTGTTAAAAAAGAACATGATAGCTTTTTTAATTCTTAATTTCTTCTGAACCATGGACAAAATACTTGCTGTACATTTCGAATTTGTTGCGGTCAATTTCAGACTAGAAAGAGATTGCATTTGAGTACAATATTTAAAAAAAAAAATACGGCCGAATTGAGAACCTCTATTTATATTCTCCTCCTTTTCTGTATTTAGTCTCTATTCTATATTCCAAATAATAAAAAAATAATACTACATGCATTTACTGGCTTCAATGGTCCTATTTTAGACTTCTTCATTTCCATGACTTCAGAGCTACTTGGCTTATAATTAAAAATGTATTTTAGTCTATTCATTGAAAAATGGAACACATGGAATAGAATGAAATATATATATTTATTGAAAACTATAACGAAAACTAATTTTCCCAAATCAGACTAATGTTTCTTATTTTATGTTTTCCATTATTCACAAAGGTAAGTTAACAATCATTTTACTCATGTTTCAACAGGCTAAGAAGGCGGAGAAAGCGGATTGGGCTATTGGGAAAAAGTAGACAACTACTCACAGACTTATACAATAACAATTTCCATCTAAAAATAACTTTGATGGTTTAATTTTAATTCGACTAATTTAATTTACAAATAAAGTTATTTTTTATTTTCAAAAAGATATCTTAATTTCTTTTCATTAAAGTACCTTCTTAAATGAACCGAGGTGAGAATTGTTTGATGCAATGAATACAGCTTCTATGAACCTTTGTAGATGTTTGTGAATAACTTGGGAAATCTCTTTGTTACCACACGCTTACGCTACGAGTTCTACATCTGCGTATAGTTTTAAGAATAGAAGCTTTCCCCGCAAATCCAAACCATTATATTATCCATGAAGGGTACGATTTCGTATAGTGCTAATTTTAATTTAAAATTGTAGTAACTAACCCATAATTTGTACAGAAGTACTATACAATATAACGATAAATCGTCAGTCATTTTATTGGCAATTCTATTCTGATCAGAGAAACTTCTATTGATATAGTGGTTACTGTCGGTTTTAAAAAAGTGTTTATTATTGTATTCTAAAATTAAGACATTGGATATCTACATACACAAATATACACGAAAATCTGCAAATATTCTCATAATTCAAAGCCTGCCTATAAATTATTTCCAAATTGTAAAGATCTGACAAAAACCTAATTTTATTTATTTGATGATATTCTTAGATATCAGTAGTTTGGAATTGTAGTAATAGATTATTATAAAATGCTGGGATATTTCACAGGGTGGCGCCGGAGGAAAGGTAATTAAATGAGAAGTTTTCGGTAGAAAGTTTTTTCTATTCTATTAGGCACGCGGCATGCTGATAGTTATTTCGAGCACCGCTTATGATACTTGAAATAGCCACTGGCTGCCATCACCTAGTTCCTCTGTAGATTGCCAATCATATGAGAGACAATATTGCGTTGGCATACTTGCACATTTCGCATAAATGCCAAAAGGAATATGTAAATTAGCTTCGTGTGATACGCAGATTGTTAAACACTTGTAAATAATGTTATAGGTGGCTATACAATTCGCTTACGACTTAAGAATTTTATGAAGTGTTTATTTTGAAGTTTTTAAAGCTTAAATCTTCTTTGGTCAATAATGACGAAGTTTAAAGGAATCTGGCTAAACGCATTCTACTTACGGCAAGCCGTAAATTATATGTAAATTGTTTTATTGTAGGTTTTTAAAGAAAACTAGCTTTAGTCTCAGCTACATCTGGCGTGGTTTGCGACGGCTAATTTTGACATAGGATTAGATTTTCAGCTTAGAAATAAAATAAACATGTTTTGAAGTATGAAAAAATATTTTATTTCCTAGCTGACTATGAAATTACGTTCTACGTGTGACATTATAGTTACATTTTGTATATATATTGTAGTTAAGGATTTTATTGTAGATATAAATACTTAAAGTAATACAAATATTTAGATGGAACTATATTAAATTTTTTATTGTTATAGTTATTACTAAATATTTGTGTTGTGAAGTAATATTCTGCCTCTCTATTAGTTTAATATTAACAAGAAAATTATAATAATTACTAAATTCGTTAGATTACAATTAAAAATAATCTAAAATTGTGTTAGATTACAAATATAATGATTGTTGCATTGAATTTGAAAGCACAATTTAATCACGACGTATTTGCTCCTTCTTTACAAGGTTCTAGTTAAAATATTGAGGCTTAATATTGTTTTCTTAAAAATCGACGATTTTTGTTATATAAGTTTCTAACATCGTCTTGTAATTTTTACAGAAAAAGCCAGACTGGTCCAAGGGCAAACCAGGAGATCAGAAGGTAAAAGAGGAAGAAGTTGAGGCATGAAATACTGTAATTTAAAATACCTTTAAGACCTTATCTTTCATGCCAGCTGTTCGTCACCATGTGATAGCCCTGTCCGACTGTGGGTAACCTATGTTTTATCAGCCAATGGCAAATTCCTCCATTATTATACTTATTATGTATTGTCTAAACATTTCACTTGGAACATCAATGCAAACTTTTTATATCTATTTATTTAAATAATAATGTTTTTATAAGTTAATAATGTTTAATAAATTAATTTTCTGTACTATAATTTATTGTTGTTGTGTGGTTTTTCCCTGATTTCCCATCCTTTTGGTTTGGTTTACAACAGATAAAATATACGTGAGTCAATTTTAAAAGTACCTATAGTTATGATGAGTGACCCTGAATGATTTTATTTATATCCAGTGTATGTTGTACCCTTAGCACCATTACATTTTAGTGATTTAACCAGAGTTTTCAATATTAGTAATATATTTTGTGATTTATTGTGTTATTTATGTACACCAGTTTAACAAAATTTTACCAAGCAGGTATACATGTATGTTTCAAGCAAAATGAAAGATTTTAGGCGTTGTACAATATGTCGGTACTCTCTATCTGAAAGAAACCTATTTGGCATAACAGACTTAGCAAAACCTTCTTTTGATGAAAACTTGTAAGATATAATAATACTTACTATGCAAAATATTCTACTAAGCATAATAACCGATTAACCAAATATCTGTGAGTCCAAATATAAAATAACATACAGAATTTCCTTCGGCATTATTTAATTTCGCATAATTTTGTTTGGTATAACTAAGACAATTCAATCAATTTGTGATGTTAGGAGAGTTAAAGGAGAGTTAGGCTACGCGAGTCTATCGAGTGAAGTATGCGCCATATTCTCGTTCTGCTTATATTATACGATTCAAAATGTTTACATAACTATGCTAAAAGACAATTCTGATTGAAAACTTTCTGCATAATGATAGTTCTAATTTTTAATTATTCTGCATATAAAATAACAAATATGTTTAATGTTTATACTGACTTTAAAAATTATGAGTTTTAAATGCTATATGACAGTCGATGAAAAACAACATTCCGTGAAATAAAGTTTATGCCATTCGTTATTTGACGTGATAAAATTATGACACAAAAAGTATAATTATTGAACGAAGGAACCCATAGTATGTATTGTATGGAATTGTTAAATGAAGAATAAGATATCTTACACAAAGCGAGACTTCTAGCGAAGCGGTAAATTATCTAGAAGGCGGAGTAATGACTATCACGGTCCTACACTAGAAACATTAAACATACCCATAATGGCAATGTCCGGCTGACATGTTAGCAGACTTGCCCGCGGGCATGTGAAGACAAAACATTGCCAAATTGGAATTTGGAAAATAAATATTATGAGGTAATTTTTTCCAGACCGATTCAATATAGATCGAGTTTTAATAACTCTAAAAAAATAATTTCTATGAAATTAACTCGAAGTGACTCAAGAACTTGAGAGAGGGAGAGAGAGAGAGAGAGAGAGAGAGAGAGGAGAGAGAGAGAGAGAGAGAGAGAGAGAGAGAGAGAGAGAGAGAGAGAGAGATTTTTTGTACAGTGTGCATCCGTAGGTAAAAAGTAACATTTTGGTTAGACAAAACTTTTCTCAAGTTCGTCATGCTACGCAAGCTGGAATACTGTTGTATAAAAGTGGCAAAGTTAATAAAGGAATAAAATTTTAAAAAGTTTTGAATTCATGCGCACGCTTTGCACAACGTGTGATCCATTTTTTGTCACTTCCATACTTCCTTTGTAGTCAGCCGTCCATACCTAGGTGTGTCCTAGTATATATAGGTGAGAACCTATGATCAATTTTTTTTTACCTCTGAAATTTAGAATTCGTGATCCAAGATGGATCACTAGGTATGGATGCTGGCTGTAAGAACATTGAAATATATCCACGTACAAATATAGGAATAAAGCGCTCACCATATAATTTCGAAATATCTTTGTACTTTTTGTCGTGTTAAAATATACATAGATACTTAATATACTTTGAAATCGATTTTGCGACTACAACAAAAGATTCTATCATTGACGCTATTTCCATAATATGATAATTAAATAGTGTGATAATATACCAACAAAAGACAATTTTCAAATTTCCATCAACGGAAATAATCACGCTATCAAGTTTGGCACGCTAAAGCCTAGTGATTAAGCAAAATCATTGTATAGGTTGGTTTGAGTAATATTGTTGTATTCTTGTAGGGAGAGTACCGTGATGATATAGACCAATTCTGATTGATAAAATTATTTATGCCCTAGAATTGGAGAAATAAACCACTAATTACGACATCAGCATGTGCAGTAGTGTAACATACCACTTTGATATTAGGTTTTCATTACATAAAAAGCATTCAATCAAAGTAATAAAAATTAACACATCACACTGTGACAATCATGCAACACAATAAAAATAAAATGATATAATCAATAGGTTTATTGTGATGTGCATGCGGAGATGATTTACAATAGCAGTAATCATTTGTGTTCATAATACGTTGGAAAAGTTGTGGTAATAACATTTTTTTTAGAATCACAAAAATTTATATAGATTAATTCTTTAACTTGTTCTTTTTAATTAATGGCGTTGCCCTTGTGGATTTCGCCGAAATCCAGTGTTTCACTCAGTTTATTTCATATTTTAATATTTTATAAATTCTGCTTTTTATATAACTGATGAAAAATCTTAGAGCACAAAATACCAGATTTGTGATGGGAGTTTAACACAAACCAACTATGGGGTGACATTTTTATTAGTTATATATTTTAGAAGCGAAAAATATGCTTTGATCCCTTGATTGAGCCTTATTACTTTAGCAATATAAATTATGGTACAATTTATTTGTTAAACACGTTGCTTTCTAATCGAAAATATAAAGTTTATAACAGAAAAGTTAAATGTTCCCCGGAAAGTTTTACAAAAGTAAAGTTCGGTAATGCAGCTGCTAAGTATACGAACTTTTGGTAAGTTTAAAAGAAGACCTATTGTATATGGTTTCGCTTAAGTACAAATCTTTAGTATTAAAAATAAAAGCTTATTTGCTAAACAAGCTTAATTTGACAATAGAGATGATGCCTTGGTAAATAAAGTCCCATTTTTAGTCCGTCAGTTAGTTAATAGAAAAATGTTAGATACGTATTTTTTTTTATTTGAATTTAATAAGAAATAGCTTACACAATAGCCATTAAAGTTGAGAAGTGGGGGCTCGCTACGTCACAATTATGTTTTAAATTGTCAAAGGCATGACGTCATGCGACATTTCAACTCAGTGTACCATAGTAATTTATTGAATACTCAAAAAATGAAAAATACGTGTTTTATTCAATTCTAACTGATGGTCTGACAAAAAAAAAAGAGTCATCATCCCTATTATATGGTCACTTCATTAACTCCAACTAATTCTGAATTGCAATTTGATTGACGAAGTAAAAATATCCGAAGTTAATTATAATATTCCTCTTGCATTTAATAAATGGTAATTACAATTGCCATCATGAAAATTGATAGCAATAATGCCAGTAAGTGAGATATGTTGATTTGTACGGGGGCAAGTGAAATAATATGATCTGCATCGTCTGATTCTATGTGTTAATTTTACATTCGCGCTGTTCAAATTAGGTCATTATTATTGGCTTTTCATTCCACGATATGTTGTATGTTTTAGTTAATCAAATAAACATAAATTATATTAAAAAACTATTATTACTATTATAGGGATGAGGACTGGGTAAAAAAAATGCAATTCTATTTAGTCCGTCAGTCAGATAATAGAAAAATATTACGTATTTTTTTTTACTTCAATTTAACAAGAAATAGCTTAAATAACAGGCATTAAAATTGAGGAGTGGGGGCTCGCTACGTCATAGTTGAGTAGAAAACGTACTCTAACGTGACGTCATGCGAAATTTCAACTCAATGTAACGCCGTAATTTAATGTTCACGAAAAAAAAAAATACGTTTTTAATATTTTTTAACACTCTACCTGACCGACAAACAAACAAAAATTAGTCATCATCCCTATTATATAGGCATAAACCTGTTTAAGTGACGTTCGAGTACAGCTTGAGAAGTGCTTAACTTTAAATACTCATTTCAGAAATCGGGTGTTAATTGCTTGTGGGATTCTCTCCCCGTACATGTGACCTTAGCATGTCTAGAAGCCAGTGCCTTCTAAAACAATTTTACGCAGCTTCATTTTGGAACAAGCTAATTCCTAAAGTGGTTAGTCTTTGTATTTACATAAAGAATTAAATAAATAATGAATAAAATTGAAAACGCAGTTTGAAAGGATTATAACTTAGTCTAGATTTTGCAAAAGGAATATTACAATTATCTAACCCATTTAAAATATTCATGAAGTACAAGTTTTTATTTTAATACACCACATTTATTTTAAACACAACAATATACATATAACCAGTGATAAAAAATGCTTTAAAACTAAAACCCGAATGGGTAGATCACGTCTCAAACAAAAAAATATTCAAATCTTCAGACGCTAATACTTACTTTGCCCTAATTAAGAAATAATATATCGCTTTATAAGAATAAGTAACATACAGTCATAGCTATTTGCCAATATAGTATACAGTAGGTTTATTTCTACGCTTGTAGTTGGAATATATATTAATCATGCACATTTCATTGCAATCTGCTTACGCTGTTTAAGTTTGAAAATGCACAATTGTTGCTAAAGATATAGCAGTGGATGAAATCTTGTTGTCATGTACATTGGATGTTAGTAACTTTGATTTCGGATTGTAGGATGGAGGTGATGCAGCGGCACAGTCAGCAGATGGTGCTCCTTCAGAAGGAGCTCCACCTGCAGAAGGTGCTGCACCGGCGGAAGGGGCTGCGCCAACAGAGGGTGCCTCTCCAGCAGAGGGTGTTCCACCAGCAGAAGGAGCTCCACCAGCAGAAGGAGCTCCACCAGTAGAAGGCGCCCCACCCGCAGAAGGAGCTCCACCCGCAGATGGAGCCGCGCCTGCAGCTCCTGCTGATGCTGCGGCACCAGCCGCACCACCGGCAGAAGGTTAAAAAACGTTAATTAACTTGAACAGCTTTATTTTAACTATTGGCATCGTTCGCAATGGCTTTGCCGTTTGTAAATTTGACTTAACGTTTAAATTAAACTATTGGCATCGTTCGCAATGGCTTTGCCGTTTGTAAATTTGACTTAACGTTTAAATTAAACTATAAATTGCGCAGAAAGTTTTC